GTTTTCCCAGAGTGGATTAGTCCAAGCCTGGGTAAAATGGCTAAGAGTAATTTTTCTTGCTTTATCACCTATCAGGCTTTAGTCACTTGAGACTTAGCAGGGCCTACGTTACTAAGAGTTCTACACAACGGCTGCTCTTGTACAGATATTACAATTTTTCAGGCATTATGCAGCTAGCCACTGTCTGGCTACTGTGAATACTGCAGAAATTGTAGGAGCTCAGTGCAAACAAACCACCCAAATGCTCACCCTGCTTTTTGCCAGAGCTCTGTGCAGAGCTATACTGTGAGCAGAGCTGCTGCCACCTGATTTGAACGTAGAGAGATTTGTTCAGATTGATGACATCACTGCAAGACCTTTTTACATGACTGTGTAATTGTCAAGCAGCTTGTAAACTGGTGCAGTTTAAACATAAACATAAACTTTATGTTTATTCTGGCAAGGTACAAAGGAACTTGAGCAGTGTAATATGCTTTACAGTAGATGAGATGCAACAGTGTAATTTTAACTTCACTAATGCGGATGTAGAAACAAAACCCATACTTCTTTAAAATTGGATTTTCTTAACATAAGTGCTGCTTTTAAAGGCAGTTGTCTGTTGTTTTCAAAAATATTTTGAAATGAAACTCTGGTGTACTGTGTGTGAGAACAAAAAAAAAGATTGAAGAACAAAGTAAAGCTATTACTATATGGCTAACGTAGATGAAAGTAAGGAAATGCATACTAACAAAAAATCTATCTAATAAAAATATACAGAAAACCTAAAATCAGTTATCGTACATCTTCCTCCCACCCTCAGAAAGCTTCCCACTTGATTATTCTTGAAATGAGTTCCGATATGTTTCCTATTTTATGTATCACATTTATTTATGATTATATAGTAGCACCAGATTAAAATGCGAAGATCCAATGAAAGAAGTACAGGAGAGACTTCAAACTTACTGTGTTAATTTCATGCTGTAAAAGTTCTAGCTTTCCAAGAAAAAGCAATTTCCAACTTCCAAAACCTTGCTATTATTTTCATAAAACAAAAAATCCAAAGAAAATAAAATTAAAAATCTTATAGTTCCAGTGTACTTGTTTTGAATAATGTTATCTACAATTATAAGACAGTCCATTAAATAGAAAAAAGATTTGTTTTACATAAAGCAAGAGAGTACAAAAGCACAGCTTTTGTAATTTTGGTAATATTGCAGTTTTACAAACATATTGCATAGTATGTGTAAGAAAATAGTTCCCATCTTTTTTACATACTTATATATACAAGAAAATCATTAACATGAAGGTTACAAAACAAAAATGGTTAGCAGACCTTTACTGAGAACTGATTGAAACAATATGACACCCAAACTTCGATCCAACTTACATACGCATTACAGTGAATCAGCTGATGACAATTCTGTAGCCTTTTTTTTTTTTTTTTTATTTAGACAATGATTTAGACTCTGAAAAAAAAATCAAAAGCCCAAACTAAAAAAAAAAGACCCATGGTCTCAGCAACTGAATGTATTAAACAACCTTCATTAAATCCTTCTAGACATTTATGGCTGTATCTTCAGTCCAGACCCTCTGCACCTAAAATGCTTTAAAGTGAATTCCGTGACCCAGTCAAGCCACAGAGTTTTGCAAGCAAAATAGTATAACTTCAGTTGAAACAAGCAATGTCTTGCCATGTTTTGGAATATATACCCTTTTGTATTCTTAGGAACACCAAAAGACCCTCGTATGCATGAACAGTAATGTAAGTGCACCACACTGACAAAAAATTTAAACCCTGGGAAAAAAAGTGAACAATCTACAGCTCAAAATGCTGCACACATCTAAACTATGTTACAATTTCATGTTGTAATTACAACTTGTCATCTCTTCATTCCGACAGAATTAGTAGAAGCAGCAGTGTCATAGTGTTAGATATAATAGAAGTGTCAGTCTTTGGTCTTATCACGTGACCAACGAATGAACTGCAATACAAAACCATACAGCTAACAGTGCTCAGAGAGGTTGGCTGATGCTTTTATTTTTCTTTTTTTAAACAAGAAAGAGACAGTATCCTGTAACATCATGACACAGCTATTTTTACAGAAGATATCTCTATTGTATATATTAAATACATGTAACTAATAAGATCTTCTCATATATTTCACTGTTGTCATAAGGATAGCCCTGAAGAAGTTAAACAACTGCAATACCATCTTAGTAGTTCCCATATAAACATCCTATTATAAAAAGAAGCTTTATTTGGTACATGTATTCATACACTATAAAAAAATCTCGGAGGAATATTTTAGCCACCCTTGGGTTTTTTTTAAATTGCACTAATATTAATGCTTAATATCCAAAAGTCTTCATTCTTTCCCTACAC